CCGGCTGCGGGACCCGCGCGGACAAGGGTGGTGCGGGGCGGGGGGGGGACCCTGAGCCTTCGGCCGCCCCCGTCTCCATTCAGCCCCTGCCTCTCCCTGTCCTGTTCCCTTCAAGGAGAGGGTCCTGCAGGCGCTGGGCCGAGACCGCGGGCAGAGCAGGACACGAAGGTGGCCGCAGCAGCCGGCGGAGGTAAGCGACCAGCCCGCGGGGCCCCGGGCAGCGCCTTGCGGAGGCGGCAGGGGAAGGAAGGGATCTAGACGAGCCGAGTGACCCTGAAGGCAGCTGCTCCTTCTTCAGGCTGCTCCTGGCTAGAGGGCCTTGGCCCTGTGCTTAGGGTCAGGCCGTCCTGGATTTGGGGTCAGGAAGGGGTGTTACCCCATGGTCAGGAGGGTGAGGACCGTGGTGGGGGGGGCGGGAGTTGCCTTCCTCTGTAGCGGGGGTGACCCTTTATCCCGGGCCTCTTGAGTGTATACTGACAACCTCTCATAGAAGCAGGACCTCGGTTGCCATGTTTTACCTGTGCCAGGTTAGGGGGCAAGGTCTGTGTTGTGTGTTGCGTCAGGGTTGAGGGTGGTATGATGAAGAGCTCAGATTCTGGTTGTATGGGATGGTTTGGATAGGGATGATCCTGCCTCAGTCTGTAGTTGGGCTAGATGACCTCTGGAGGTCCCTTCCAGCCCTGGTTCTCTATGGGCATTTTTACAGGTGCTGCAAGAATGTGTGTTGGGGGGGAGGAGCGGCTTTGAGAGCCTCTCTAATTCAAGCTACCGGAATGACTCATGTATCAGCATCCCATGCTTCAAAATAGCCTTGGGAAGCTTTATTTAAAACTCCTCAAACAAGCTTTAAAGTACCCCTGCTGCCATTTTAAAGCATGGGGATGCTGATAAACGAGACACAGAAGCTGGCTGAAGCACAATAAATATCACGCTTCAATAGAGTCCATTAATCACAGCATAATTACAACCAGTGCTGTACCTAGACTCCTGGCAGCCCTGGGTGAACTTTCAGTATCAGGCCCCCCTTCCCCAGATACTTTTGTTCCAAAGGTCTTTATCACATCTGTGGTACTGATGCCTTTAAATAGTTTGTTCTCAATTGATAACATTGCCAGTCCTGTATACGCACAATATTAACACTTTTTTTGGCAATTGTAATTTTTTTTGTCCATTTTTGGGCTCCCTTTCTGTCCTGGTCCCAGGCGGCTGCCCAGTTTGCCCATGCCAGTGTCTGGGTCTGATTACAGCATGTTGGAGCAGCCTCCCTGCTTGTGTATAGGCACCGATTCTAAGAGGAATTTCGCTGTTACACCTGCTTTAAACTCATTTCCCTGTCACATTGGAAACTGTAGAAAAATGGGCATAAACTAATCCCATCAACATGCAACGATATTTTGGAACCTCGAAGCAGAACCTGTGATTCTTTCTTCCCAGAGTTTTGGGGACAGATTGCTGTATAAAAGCAAGAAGTAACTAGTTGATTTGATTGAAGTGCTGCAGGTATATAGGGAGTTGTCTGTGCATGTAGCATTACAAACTGACTGGACAGATAAGGAAGAGAAAAAGCTTTTGAAGGGTGAACACATAGTGGAGAGGTGGAAATCTGTTGTTATAGTTTCTTGTTTGTTAATCATTCTCAGTGAACTTGGCAATGTATAGTATTCAAAATGGATGGTCTTTACCTGAAATAAGGGGCACTAAATCTGCTGAGTCACTTTATAAGAATCCCTTTGTGTGGTTCAGATACACCGTGTGACGCAGGAATATAGAAAGGGACCTTAAGGTGACATTTTGGAGGAGATAAGCAAGGTGTCCCAAACACAGAGCATAGGACAAAAATGCATTTGCAACAAACTGAGTCTATGACTTGTCTGTGAAAAACAGACATAAATATTCAGAATAACCATAAAATAGACACATTCACACTGTTCATAATGAGCAAAACCAAATAGAAGCTTGATGCTTGACTAAACATGTTGAGCAATGACTAAGATATAGAAAGAGGACACTGTTGCATGTGGAAAGAAGCTAATGGCCAAGAAGTAGAGACTGAGTATGAGAATGTTTCAGTTTGGCAGTGCATTGCTAGCTGGCTGTTGTGTACGTGTGTTAACAGTTGCTAGCTGTACTCCATATTGTTGCATTCAGAAACACCATGGAAATGGCACCTCCCCATCGGCTATGATGCTATGAGTGAAAAGAGAATGAAATCAAACAGTTGCCAGAGTTCCTAGGCTTTGGGGCCTGATTCTGCTCTTATTTTAGGCTGAATACAATGTTACAACTCCATATGACTCCACAGAATTAGCCTGATTTCCAACACTGTAAATGGATCACTCCTTTGATATTTATCACATCACAGTGTCTACTGCTTGTGTTGAAATATATATTAAACAAGCTAATTAAAAGATGAGTGACTTTGAGATCTGATGGATCCTTAATTTTATTTTCCATTGTGCCACTTTGGAAAGCCACTGTTGCAAGAAAAAGTTCAGTAATGCTGTACTTTGTAAGGAAAGTTCTTGGTTGAGTAGCACTCCCTGTGTCTGGTAGGCAGTGTACTGTTAGCTGGCTGCTTTGTATGAATCTAGCAGTCGCTACTGCACTGTCAACAGCTGCAGGGGCAGCTCACTGTTTATTTTTAATGAGAAGAACTACGAAAGCTTCAAAAGACCAGTTTTGAAAACAGTGTGTGTGATGGGAAGGCAGTGTACTGTTAGCTGGTTGAAAAATTCAACACCAGCTAACATGCAGCTGCTATCCTACTGCACCAACTTTGAATCACTGAAGTGCATCAAAAACTAGTTTTGCATAGTGTATCTTCTGGGCTCTTTTTATATTCTACTATAAAGAGGGTATTTACTATTTCACACATTCCTGCTATCTAGAGCACATGGAAAGAGGAAACATTTGGTTGCCTTAGCTTTATGGTGCTTCATGTTGTTCAGCACTTAGATATCAGTTTAATAGAAGCCCTTATAAATACCTGAGATGGATAGAAGGCAAGCCAAGTAGCATTTTATAGACTAACTCATTCAGAGTGGCATGAGCTTACTGTGAGAGGCTGTGAATGGACTTTCAGAGGCTACAGCTTACTTTGTCAGATGCTCTGAAGAATGGACTCCAGATGAATGGACTTTTATATCAGATTACAGTGGAGGTGTCTATCAAATGCACTGTTCAAGTCATCCCTGTACTCCTTTGCAAGTATCACTTTTATACTGAGTATTTTTAATTTTTTCCCTAGTTCCACTAGGTGCTAAAACTCCCTCAGCCACATTTGATTTTAGTGGGCACAAACAATACTCAGAAGTTTCACTTTAGCATTTACACTATTTTTTAAAGACTCTCCTTGTGTAGTATTATTTATCAATATTAATTTGTTGTTAGCCCCTCTTCAAAATCCTTGGTTCATATTTTCAGTAAAACTAGGTTTACCTTCATTTTCTGCAGAATGCCTACTGTATACAACTGACAGATCAGTACACTGTCATAGTGTCATTACCTATTGTTTACAGGGCCCTTCCATTTACTTTCTGTTGCAGGGAATGAAAGGGTTTGTAGGCAATTAGTTCGAATTATTGCTTTAATTACAAGATTAGTGAGATTAAAAATGAGAGAGTGTTTATTTCTTGCTAGGAATATTTTGACTAATATTAGTTTAAGGCACCTATTATTGCCTTTGTTTTTTGAGTCTTGATATTTATTTGATGATATCCATACATCTTATTTTGTTACTTGATTGCAAAATGAAAAAAGAAGCTATTTCATTATCTGAGCTCATAGGCAAGTCAAGTAACATATGGTCCATTCATGAAAACTCTTCAAATGCAGACCTCCCACTGAAGGAAGTGGGAAATGTGCATGTGAATATTTGAAGGGTTTGCAGGAATGGGCTCATAATAGATGTGCGTGTGATGATTAGGCAGTGTATTGTTAGCTAACTGGCATTCACATACCAGCAACTAAACACACCTCCACATTAGCACACAACTTTGAATCAGCGGTTACACAAGAGTATAAAAATAAGCCCTGCTCTGTCAAGCTCTGGTCCAGATCCTTGAAGGGCGTGAGGGTATGTGTTGGTGTAACTCCTTTGGTAGGGCAACTCGGTATATAGCAGCTGTGAATCTGGGCTTTAGAATACCATTAATACAATGTTTGACATCAGGAGTTAATATTTTTGTGACTGATCCTGCAAAACTGTACATATATGAATAATTTAATTGACTTCTAAAGGACTAGATACATATACGAGTAATTACAGAAGTAAAGATTTCAAGTTTGGATCTTGCAAGGGGATGTACTTTTCTTACAATATTAATGTAGTCGTATAAACTGGACACATTTTCGGATATGTTTTCTCAACTGCACCATAGCATTTTCACACAAGTCTTTTGAATTTGCAGAACCCATATTTGGATATGTAAATGATGGTCTGCCTAAGCAAAGTGGGTATCTGTGCATGTTTTGTACATGCACATTCAGTAGTAAACATTTAGATAGCCTCTTAAGAACATGTGTCCCTTCCTGTCCCTAATAGAAGTATCCTTATCCTACCCTGCTCCAACACAGTGTCCACCTGCAAATTTTAAGGAGCACTTGGGTTGTTTTGCCTTTCATGTTATCTCTGCAAAATCAGTATACATAGGTACATGTGGTACATATGGACCCTCTCAGTTTACATCTATGTGTGCGTAACTCCAAAACTGCACACATTGATGGAGTCTGGGAAGTGAAAATTACACCGGGTTTATCTACATGAGATGCTACTGCACAGTGGTTACTGGGCATTTATTTAGTACTTGTATAAGCAAGTACTAATTAAATGTGCAGTAACCAGAGTTACTATGCAGCAATGTCTCAACATGGTTTTTGCCATGTGATGCTACTGCAAGGTAGTATCAGGCTACCGCACAGTCAGCATCTTGTGTAGATGTGTCCACCTTCAACTAAGGCATAGGAACTGCCATATTGGATCAACCCTAGAGGCCATCCTGTCTTTGTTGATGGCCAACATCAAATGCTTCAAAGGACAGGGTCTCATTCTTAAACTCTGAAGCCTAAGGTTAGACTATCCCTTTGTACCATCATCGTCAGTGGTGGTGATTCCTCATCTCCTCCTATATTATTCTTATAATTAATTTTAACTGGCTATATTTATACCTATAACTGTATACCTTTTAAAAATCTTACCGTCTTGGCCAGTGACTTCCTGTGGCAGTGAGTTTCATGTTTTAAGCACAGTATGTGGAAAAAAAATGTTTCTTTTTTATTGGTTTTGTATTTCCCTCTCCTCTTTACCTGATGGGACTCTGGCATGTATATTACAACTCAGAGGCCTGTGAGTTCAAGCCTTACAGCAGGATTTGAGCTTGTGCCCAGTGTGAAAACAACAGTAGAAAAGTATAGGGGTATGCTGAGTTCCTACTGCTGTTGTTGTGGAGATGATGCTTTAGGTGCTCATCTTTTTCTTTAGTGATAGATATAGATTTTCTGGTATTTTCAGAAAGGCTAATGAATAATTCCATGCCCCTAGACAATACCTGCCCTCCTCAATGAAACATAATGCTTTTGATGTCCAAAGCTGGGTGCATCGATATGAGTGCTTTACTGCAGAGTAGTCTAATTAGCTCTGCAGTAAAGCATCACCATCTACACATGTGCTCGTATTAGGGCACAGTACAATAACTCTGTTGGGGGCAGTACTATCTTATGGCAGAGTAAGTAACCACTGAAATGTATGTGTAGATGGTGACAGGGGCTGGCTGGGGCATTAGGGTGCTAAAGTGCAGGAGCTGCCTTCTGCCTAACCACTTGGCTTCACACTCTCAGCACTTTCATGCCCCAGCCAGCTTCTTTGCTGCTAGACACTGACTCCCCTGTGCCTCCTCCCAGCCTGGGGCTGCTCTGCCCTGGCTCAGGTGCACATGTAGATGCTGTGCCCAGAAGCAGTTTCCTCTGGCTCAAATGGCTTGGGAGTTTATTGCATCGCATTAATTGCATGTGTAGATGCACCCACTGGGTGTAACAGCACATGTAATGAGTGCTGTTTACTCATACCTACATTGCACAAAGAGTACATGGGCTAAATTCTTCCTCCACCAGGTTGGTCTCTGGTACTCCTAGAGGATACCCTTGGCACTCCTGAAGGATTCAGTGTTTCCAGTGATGCCCCCATACAGGATTCTGACATCAGGAGTAACTGCCTATAGACCTCCTGGCAGAGGTACAACCTCGCACCAGATTTATTTTCAAGAGCCTCATAATCCTCTTGGAGTGACTGTACTGTTAATATTGGCTTGTGAATGTCGCACATAACCATCCATGCTATTTATTATAAAGAATCTGTTAGAACTGTCGATATCTTCCATCCTTCTTTGCTTCATACAGTGCCTCAAGCTATCTGCTACCTGGGTCCCAAAGCTTAATTATCCAAACTTGTCTAGCTACAATAATTCTGAATACAGAAAATGCAAATAATTTCATGTCAGGTTTTCAGGACACTTTGTGAAAGAGAAATAAGCGAAATACACAACACACACCCAAAGAGGCAAGAAACTATTTTGTGATGGTTTTCTCTTTTTTAATAAACAATCTTCATAGAATTTTCTATTTACATTTTTAATACTTAGTCTGTCATTTTCACAATTCATCAACCTTCTTTTGTTCGCCTTGCAAAGCTGGCATTTTCAGTGATACATGGTTCTAACTACCCTGGGATGGTATCTCTGCCTTGGTGTCATGGCTTTAAGTAATTCTGGAACATCAAAAACACTTGTTTCTAATATCTGGGAAACAAAGCCCACAGACTGATAGGCTGCTCAATTTTATATTCAGGCAAATACTCTCTCTTTTTTGAGCATTTTCATGTTGGTGACATTATTATTAATCATTGCCAGCAATGTGACTATATGGAGAACATTTTGCCATTTGTGCCAAAATAAAAACCCGATACTGCAAGGTTCTGAGTGCCTCGCAATTTCAATCAGCTTCATTGGTTTTCCTCTGCATTGTTGCAAGGTTGGGCCCCTACATTAGATATAAGAATTACTAGCACAGTGGATGATGACACAAAACCAAAGAGAAATTAAAACACTTGATGGTCTAGTTTCTAGCAGCTTTTAACAGGAATGTACCATGGTTGTGTTTACATGCTGCAAAATAGATTCACAGGCTGACAGACCTTTTCAAAGGTCTTCCTTCTTTTTCATGATGATCTGCCTGATCAAAGATGCTACTTCTGGCTTGATGTTTTCTATGGGCTCTTCAGGTCTCCAGAATTTCATAACTTTACCCCCTGGGCTGACAAGGTACTTCCAGAAATTCCACCTAGGTTCTTTCTTTGAAGAATCTGTAAGGATAACATCAGAGAGCTTTAATGACACCAGACACTTGTCTGATATATCAGATACTTAACCAAGGTTAATAAAGAAAGAGACCTCCCCTACCCCCCCCCCCCCCCCCC